TGGTTTAATAGAAAACCCATTAGTTGGCAAAAAGTTAAAGTCCTAACATCCAAGCAACATGCACCAAAGTGAGTGCTACGATTGCGCTGCAGGCTGGAGAAACAAGGCCAACGTCGCCTGCCGAGCAGAGCCGCTTCCACTGAAAGCAACTGTCAGCCATGAAGGAAAACCGAGCGCCAGAATCAAATAAGAATTCAGGCAAAAGCTGCACCCAACTCAATGCGCAGACTATTGAAACACATTGTCGAAAGCCTCGGCCAACGGCCAAACAATTGCATGAACAATTGCAGAGACTATGCTGATCCATCGGTCCTTTCCGATCAAACGTGGATACCCCAGCTTCATCTAAACCAGTTGAGCGCCTCCATCCCTAGCAAATCTGAGACACCAGCCACCCCAGAAAAAAGAAGAACTTCACAAAGCATCGAAAGCAAGGGGCCGACGCGTGCACAGCGACACCAAAGGTTCAATGGGACAAAACCCCCGTCTGGAAAACATTGGGTCTTCAAGGCCTGTGAGACATGACAGACCATGCCCGCTTCCAGTCACCACTATTATCTGTAGGTAACCCAGGTAACTCAAAAAACGCCATACAAAACCAAGAGGAAAAACTGGCTGCCTGCAATGTTCACTGGAAGCACTGAGATGGTTTTCTGCATGGGAACCCTTAGCAGCCGGAAAAGAACAATATTCGATCGATGTGGTCCATGACCGGACGCCCGCAAAGCGAACAATGAAGGTGTCGTAAAGCCACAGAAAAAAAAGGCGTCGTTTTTTGGCTGTTAAACAAACCAGGGCGACACCACCCATTGTGGGGTTGGGTTTTGGAAAGGCACCCTCAAAAAGACTCACATACCCAAATCTCACCTGCCCAAAAGCACCTTTTGGGGCCAAAAGGCCAGATATGGACCAAAACGGGCAACCAAAAGGTCATCAGGTCGATTTGCCTTGGGCAGCTGAGAACTTAAAATACTCTTGCCGAGATGCATCCTTGAACTCGGCCGATTCGACAACATTGTCCTGGCGGCACATGCGGAAGTAGCAAAGCGCCGGTAAAACTAGCGCATTAGTGGGTTTAGTGCCTTCAGCTGGTCCACGTCTGTGTTATGTTTAGGTAGTCTGTGTGCACTAGAAAGGCCTTTGGCGAAGATGTGCGAAGCCAGCTCACGCTTGAGAATGTTTGCGCAGGCACGTCTATTGCCAGTAGAGCCGGCAGAGCCGGTATCGGAACTGTCTAAATGGTTCTCTTGCGCTTTTTCTTCTCTGTGATTCTCTCTTTCTCTTTCTGTCTCCCAGGCTATCTATCCATCCCTCTCTCTCTCTATCCATCCATCATCCATCCATCCATCCATCAATCTATCCATCCATCCATCCATCCATCCATCCATCCACCCACCCATCCATCCATCCATCCATCCATCCATCCATCCATCCATCCATCCATCCATCTGTCTCGCCATGCATATGTCTATCTGTACTAGCTATCTTATACTATCTAGTTGGTCGGCTTTGCACCTATACTATGTCTCAGTCTAGCTAGCAATCTAACCATCCATCCATCAACACATCCATTCACCCATCTACCCACCCATCAATCTAATTATGCATTAAATCTATGTATGTATCTGTCTACCTACCTATGTACCCTCTGTCTCTCTCTGTTTCCGCGCTAGCTACTCAATCTTTCTGATTTCACTATCTATCCAATCCCGTCTGTTTAGCTAGTCACATTTAACTAACCTAACCCAATAGCGCTGCGCCTGCCAGAAATCCGCACCCGACCTTGCGAAAGTGCTGCGCCTGTCACACAATTTGCACGTGACCTTGCGAAAGTGCTGTGCCTGCGACGAAATATGCACGTGACCTTGCCACAGTTGCGCAAACTCACGTCGCGAAACAGGCGTCATGCCAAAGGTGGTTTGCGCTTCGCACAGGGCGCTCGCCTTGAGCACAGGCTTTGCCCTGACCCAAAGTTGTGAATTATCTCCCTTGTGGCCGGCAAATGAGAGCTGATGTTCAAAGTTAATTTCCCTCAACGTTGCTCGATGTTGCTCGCAAACATGGCAGCCTGGCCGCCCGTCGCCCACAGGGTTCATTCCTAACTGACATGGGTGGAAACAAGTTGGCTTGCGTTTGCGCACGGGCAAACTGCCACCCAGCACCTGGAAGCACTCACACAGGTGCTGAAACCCTAGCGCCATGCTCGCAGAAACTGAAATTCTCCGGGAGTTTACATCGCGCCCCGTAAAACAAACCTTCAAACACAGTTTTACACAGCTAATCTTACTTTTCCAAAAGACTGGAAACTACAGGTGGTCATGATCAAAATGGAAGGTCAACGCTTCGGCTTGACAAGAGACTGATCAAAACATAGCCCATATGCCCCTCCACACTGCCTACGAAATAGTATTAACCTGGCGGAGTAACGGGGTGGTGACCCCCGCGCAAAAAGTGCTGTATCCGTTCTTGAACGGCACATCCCCCTCTCCAAGCCATGGTT